TTTAAAATTTTTTTTTTTTTTTTTTTTTTTTTTTTTTGCACTCCGCTTTTTCCTAAACCCCCCCCCCCCCCCCCATATCCCAGTCATAAGGCCTCTTGGGTTTTTCTTCCTACTTTTTTCTCAAAAATAATGTCCATTAACATAATTCCAAACTCTTTTATTTAATTTTCATATAATGCCACATTATTTCTGCAAAATTTGCCCACACTGAAAGAGCAGAAACTGAGCTAAACAAAATGTTTACTTGTTAGCATGTTCAGGTATAAATTATAATATTATTCATTAATCTTTAAAAGTAGAGTTAGTCCCTAATGTCTTGGGAGGGATGTTACTTGTAGAATAGTAGAAACTAGCCACATTGCTTTTGATACAGGTTCAGCCCCTTTTAATTGGAAAAAGTGTTCATTACCTCCATTATCATTATATGGTAGACATGGATGTGTTGTATGTGTACATTATATGGTAGACATGGATGTGTTGTATGTGTACATTATATGGTAGACATGGATGTGTTGTATGTGTACATTATATGGTAGACATGGATGTGTTGTATGTGTACATTATATGGTAGACATGGATGTGTTGTATGTGTACATTATGTCTGCTGTTCTGTATAATGTATTTGTACACCAAAGGAATGCATCACATACTGTGCAAGGTGTTTCTCATGTTTGCTGTTACTAAGTATTAAATATTTTTGAATGATGAAGAAATTAATAATTTTGTTTAATAGTGTTTAGTCTTAACTTTTTATACCAAAATAACAGACTAGTGTACATTGAATGCCCTCGTTAAAACTTTTTAAATGGTCGTGTGGAACAAATCAAGAAAAAGATTTACATGCTTGTCCAAATTGTCCTAAACATGAAAAATATTATGCAGTGTTTACGTAGTTTTTATTTTCATTAGAGTGGGTGTGGTGCATAATGCTTCCTTCCATTCTTTATTTCATAGATTGTTATGTTTCAATCTTCTTTAATTAAAGAAATGCAGCTATAAACTCCATTTAAGTCAGCAAGTTGATATTAGAATGTCCTATGTCTTACTAAGGTAGAATTTCAACTTAATTTTTCACCTATCAGCTTATGGGTTGGCTTTAGATGTTCTTAACTTTATGTACAGCATATTTGTTGTGCTTAGCAAGATTTTTTTAAAATCTTTTTTTTTTTTAATTTGCTTCATTTATTGTCTTTTACCAATGATAACGTTTTAAGTATTTAGTAAAAAAAATTAACTAAGTAGGATGCTAATTCAGAAATCTTTTTATCTTTGTGAAATATAAAAACTTCAATATTTCTCCTTACGTACAGACCCACCACCAGCAGTCAAGAACCAGGGTCCACAGCGACCAGACGACCAACCAGCAGACTGAGAAGAACTTTTATCATAGAGAAGGTCAGTCATTTGGAAAGTTTTCTTTTAAATTAGGCTGAGGCATAAGGTAGAATGGATTATGATTTTTTTAATTGCCAAGCTCCCTGCCATGTTTATAATTTCTCAGGATTTTAACAGACCTGCTTGTTGCAAAAATTTGCCGTCACAGCGTGACATGGAAACAGTGACTTTTAGTGTATAATTTTGATTGGAATTTCATCATCATCATATTATTTTTTAAATCATTTCAGCCCAAGCCAGCAAATAAACCAACATTAGCTTGCAATGTTTTGGACCTGCAATCTTCAAGACCAGACTCCACTACCAGCTTCTGGGTGGATTTCTAATTTTATAAAAAAATACAAAGTTCATGGTCGACCTCCGACTCCAAAATATCTGAAGTTCTGAATCAACTTCTAACTTCATCAAAACACATGAAGTTCAAGTATTTCGCACAAGCCAGATATTGTTTCTTCTAGTCTAGAGAAAAATCAGTATTTGTAATGTATATTGTAAATTAGGTGTGTACATTTTTAAAGAAGTGCCAAAAAGCCCAACTAACTTATGCATAGTATACTGTCCTGTAGTTATTGATATTCTGCAGATGTTGCAGTGCTAACTAGTGAGATAGTATTCTTGTAAATTATTCCGTTGTATAATAGTATGATAGTATTTAAAAAAGGACTTTACCTACATAGTATATCAGTATTCAAAGTATCTCATTTTTTATCCCAGTAGACCAAGTGTTTTCTTTTTTTAGTGATCCAAGTACCTGGCAGTGTTGGGCACAATTTTTAATTATTTTGTAGTTTTCTAAGTTTTACGAGACAGAAATGTAAGTCTTTTAATATCATTTGTATTTTGTCCAGAAATAAAAATTTCTGTGCAGTTTAAAGGTTGCCCATTAGTTCATTCTGTGTGCAAGTCTAAAATGGCCAAAACTAGAAGTAGATGGATCACATTACTGAATACCACCCCAAGGTATTTTTTATCATGAGTGTGAGGTGTGTATAAGGGTTACACATATTCTACTTTGGAAAGTGTGACAAAGACAAAGTGATTGGTGAAAGTTAAAAAATTTTATTTCTAACAGTCTGTACTTGTAGTTTTAATAAAAAAAACCTTGATAATGAAATGGTGTGGTAATTTCAGTATCCATCACTATTGAACATTCACAATTGCACTTGAGAAACTTGACCTTTAACAACAGCAGTGCTATACAGTAAGTATAGAAATAAAACAATCCAAAAAACTAAGAAATACTAAAAACAATCCGTCCTTTACACATCATATGCATACGTGAAGGGAAATACATGTTCAATTTTGGAAGTGTTGGGCAGAACATGTATGGGAGGAAACTGTCCCAAGTGAACACGTCCAGTAAATACTTGTTCTAAGTGTGAACATGCCCTGTAAATACTTGTTTTAAGTGAAGACACCAGTAAGTACTCATTCTATCACATTTAACAAAGAGCACCATTCTTCTTGACAAGGTGGACAAATTCAAAAATTCAAATGTAATTCACTGATCTTTACAAACAACATGTTCATGGTATTAGTTAATAACATTTCAAATTAATACTTTCATATCTTACACACTTATCTTTTCAAGGCTATTTGCCTCAGCTCATGTTCCTTCAAATATACAATAGAAAAAAATTGTCTCGAACAAGTCAGAATCTCATTCGCAAAAAGATTTTTACTTCTGGTTTCTGATGAAAAGTGGCAGAAATGCACAGCTAATATCAACTGTTAATCAGATTATTAGCACCAGTTGTAAACTTGAAAGAAAAAATATTGTCTACAAACAAAACATATCATAAATAAAGTAAAATTATTCTGCAGATAATTTTCTGCGACAAGTTTTTCAGAACACAGACTGATTGTAATGTGCAATTACAATATATTGTTTTGATTTGTAAAAAAATTGCTTACAACTAAATGTGTACATGTTTGTATTTAAGAAGTGTACAAACCCCATATACAGCACCATTATGTGAAAGTAAGTGGATGATCAAGATTATAAAGTTTGGCACAAAGCAATATAAACACTATACATGCAAGAATTTATGTAAATGTATACAAATTATTTTAAATTATTATTTGTTAAACAAATATGATATTGTCGCAAGTCTCTTTCAATCTTAAGCAAATTGATATATGCACACTTCACATTAGTGAAAATAAACAGTATTATAAATTATGGATTGTCTGGATGCAAAAAAAAAAAAGGGAAAAATATATTAACAATATTCAATGACTCTTCAATATGGCACAAAGAAAAAGTTCATTGCATAGTAATAGCAAAGTGCATCTACTCATTCCTTTCCACTGTACTTCAAGACACGCAATGCTGTCTGTGTTTTCTCATGTGCCAGTTCAACGAGGCTCTCTGACGACAGCGATAGTCACACTGGTCACATTTAATCGGCTTCTCATCTGTGTGTCGACGCATGTGCACCTTCAGTTGCCAGTTTGTACGAAAGCGTTGCTGACAAAACTTACACGTGTGATGCTTATCCCCAGAGTGCACCAGTAGATGGCTGTTTAATGTGGTTTGACTTACAAATGACTTGCCGCAGCCCGGGATGTCACAATGGTAAGGCTTTATCTTGTAGTGTACAACCTGGACATGTTTAGATGCCAACTGCTGGTTTTTTAATTCAGTGCTGCAATCATCATACGGGCAAGTCAACACCTCCTTGGCACTGTGGCACTGAGAAATGTGGAGATTCAGTTTTTGTTGACTGAAGAAAAGTTTCCCACACTCTCCACAAATATGAGCCATGTCCTCATGGACCAGCTGCATGTGCTGCTGTATGTTATGATCTGGTACGTTTTCTCCACAATGGTCACACCGTTTATCTGTGTTCTCGTGGGTAGATTTCATATGGATGTCCATAGTGTAGTAAAACTTGGCCTCAAATCCACAGAGCTGACATTGGAAAGGGGGGTCAGCACTCCCATGGGTCTTCTCATGACTTTCTAGGGCCCTCTTTGACTTGAAGGACTTTCTGCACACAGAACAGGACATGGCCATTGTGAAGATTTGCATGGTGCTGCCGTTTCCCATAAACTTCTGGTTTATTTCCCACTGCAAGCTGGGGCCTTCTCCTTGGTTCTCTGCAGTTTGATTCACACTTACATTACCGCTGACTTCTTGTGACTGTTCCTCTTCCTCCTCCTCCTCGTCTAGCTCACATATGATGTTATCTCCAGTGTCTAGGGCATGTTTGTCCACGTGACCTTGAAGGTCAAACTGGTCTTCTGACCCACAGTGAGGATCTGACAGAGTACTGTTATTGTTCTGATGGTCCACCTGCTGCTGTGTTGCAGTGGTTTGGGAAGGGTTCATATTCTGAGGATAGCCGCTGCCCTGTTCATCTTGAACTATGGGAGGCATCCAAGTTCTTTCTTTTCTGACAAGATCTCCTGTCTCTTTATCCAACTTGAACTTGCAAGTCCCTGGAATAGGCTCCTGGCGTTTTCTGGGAGAATATCTCTTAGGCACGGACGACAGCTTCTTTCCTCCATAACCTCGGACTTTGGGCTGGACAAGATGGCGATCTGTGAAGCGAAACTCACAAAATGTAACTCCACTTTTTGTGACTCGTTCTTTCCCTGGATGCATCAACTGGTATTGAACAATTTTAGACTTTTGTTTGAGAGGGACATCTCTTGTCTTGGCAGTGTCAATCTGTGACAAGGCAGACCTCTCTGTGGCAGTAAAGGCACTGGTCGGGGCGCTGTGAGCAGTTCTGGCTGTGCTTACAGGCCCCTGATGGACAGAGTCATATGTGGCATTGGACGGAGTATCCACAGCAGCTGTGGCCATAGCAGGGTGACTGGTAGAGAGATGAGGAGTGTAATGTGTCCACTGGGTTTTCCTTCTCCTTCCTCTCTGACCAGTGTGATCTCCATATATCAATTCCCGTACTGTCACTGAGGACGGTAAACCACTGGGGGAGTCTGCTGTCCCTGACATGGTAATGTTACTGCTGGAAGACTGGCTACTATTACTGTAATTGTTCACTGGCACTGACCAGGCTGCTGTGCCACTGGGAATATTTGGACTGAAAGAGGTGGGTATTGCCAACAATGGGATGGCTTGGTTAACTGAAGCATAGGAGCCTATCCCAGTGGCCATCATGACAGGGAAGCCCACCTGGTCCACCATACTGGACACTGGCTGGGATAACTTGCTGGTGCTGAGCTGCTGGGATAAATAACCAGAAGTTGCCGTGGCAACGGCTGGTGCAGCTGTTGACGCAGTCACATTGGCAGTATTTTTGGAAGCCGGATCAACAGCATTGATAAATACCAGTTTCTTGTTGTAGTTGGCAGATCTATTTACTGAGTCTGTGTGTCTCGTGTCCATGTCTACTTTCTGTGTAGCTGACATTGATTGGTCTTCCATTCTCTGATTAGACCAAGTTTTAGTATAGAGATTATCCAGTGTTCTCTCCCCTTCTTTCTTCACACGCACAGTGGACAGATCTAAGACTTCATCCTGAGTATTTCTATTATCAACTTGAGGTTCTACATGTTCATTTCTGCAATCTTTATCTTGGTGAGCATCCTGTTGTTGAATATCTTCCATTTCAGCAGCTTCACTCTCTGAGCCTCCAAGGTCTGAGTAGTTCATCTCATCACCCTCAACACAATGCCTGAATAGAT